ATATATATATATTATAAAAAGAAAAAAAAAACCAACCCCAAAGGCGAAAAAAAAAAAGAGTACTCCCATATTGAGAAAAATGGAATACTCTTAAAGAAACACAACCGAATGTAGATCACTTGATCCCATGTGATGCATCGGTTGCTGACTCCAGACCCCAAGAAGTGTGGATCAAAGATATATATTATATGTATTATGCACATGTTTTTCTTCATTTTTAGTATTAAAGATGGCCACAATATAAGCAAAATGATATTGAGCAATGAATAGAAGATGTGTTGGATACGACGATTTTGTCTCTAGGTTCCACAACCTGCACTAGAATTCCTCTATAATATATTTTGCAAAGCTTAGTCAACTTCGACTTCTTTGTCCATGGATCTGCTTCGGGAGATCATATATTAATTCTTTCGCATCCATCACTCTAGGTCATGCACATGCACGTATAAATGTAGTAGGTCTACAGTACTCAAAAGAGGAAGAAGAAAAATATCCAACTCCCTTCTTTAGGACTTGTGTAGCCAATATACTAATATAGGAGACATTTCCTACCGTCCCTAGGCCTTCTTCATTGGGAATTTTTTATTTTTTATTTATTTTTAAACAAAGAGATTAAGTTATAGATGTAATTTCCACAAAAGGTGCTTTCGAAACATATGAATGTTCCATGGATACAGGACATTTAAGAAGTTAAAGGAAAAGAAAAAGCCCCAACAACAATTTGTTGAATGTGCCTCCTACTCATAAGGTCCATTGTTTTCTTCTTCTTGTAATTTGTTTTGCACTATTCTCCTTAACATAGGCATTAGGTGGTTAGGCCCCTTCTGATCGGGAGCGGATCTGTGTCCCCAAATTGGTGTCTCATTCATCTTCCCTCTCCCAAATTGGTGTCAACTAGCATAACAGAGGGTTAACTCTGTTAACTTTTTTATTGGAGAATTTTAAAAATATTAAAAGCAGCCCAAAATATGCGAGCATGAATTATGGATATGTTTACGGTCACAAAAGTTTCTCTCCTATTTTGGTAATGTGAACGTGAATGGCAGCGAATGTGAAAAGACTTTCTCCATTCTTTCACATGCAATAGATATAAGATAGGTTCTTATTTTATAATCTTAATTCATGGCCCAAATATTATAAAATGTTGGCAGAAAATGGATCTTACTCCTTGCAGTTAATGCCCAGCGGAGGAAAGGGCACACGAAATGGCCCGCAAGACGCTCTCTATTTCAATGGCGGTGCATGTGACTGATCCAAGACCCTCACTATTATATGAATGCACTAAATCCCATTTGCTTTCACTTGTTTCTTCACATTTTACACTTCAGTTTCTTCAAGCATTTCCCTCCTCTCTTTGGACTTGGCTCAGCCAACACTTAATTGATTGCTGTTGTTTCTATTTAGCTATGGCCATCTCTAGGGTTTTGTTGTTGTTTGCTCTCTGTGTGCTTCCGGGGCTTGTCAGCGCACGCACATTGGGCAACCCCTTCCACATTCAAGGCCGCGTCTACTGCGACACTTGCCGTTGTGGTTTTGAGACCACTGCCACCACTTACATTCCCGGTACTCCTTGTAACCCCATAAGTTATGTTGACTCGCATATAGCATTTTCTGATCACATAGCTAAACACATTATGTGACAGATGAGTCTTACCTGTTATAGACGGAACAAACGTATGATGATTTTTCTGAACATTATATTTGTTTGAATTGTGTGTTATGCTGTGCTTGTTAACTAGGTGCAACTGTGAGAATTGAGTGCAAATACAGGAACACCTTGCAGCTTGCTTACAGTGTTGAGGGAGAGACCGACGCAACTGGAACATACAACATTTTGGTTGAAGATGACCATGAGGACCAAATCTGTGAGTCTGTTCTTGTTAGCAGCCCAGTAAATGACTGTAAATCAGCAGACCCGGGACGTAGCCGTGCTAACGTGGTGGTCACCCGTTACAATGGCGTCGTTAAGGACAAGCATTACGCAAATAACATGGGGTTCTTCAAGGATCAGCCGTTGGCTGGGTGTGAAGAACTGCTAAAGCAATACTTGAACTATGATCAGCCAGAATAGAGGAGGAGCTATATATAGCCTTGTTGTTAGTTCATGTGGGCTATCTTAGATTTGAGCTGTAATATTAATGCTGTTGGATAAAAACCTGTCATTGATCTCAATGATATGGTGCTGTCTTTAATTTGTTTAGTTTGTAGACATTAATGTTTTAATCTTAATGTTCTGTTTCACTATATATGTATGTATTTTGGTCACTCAATTGTGGCTTTCATTATAGATGAACTTCTCTCTTTCTGCTAAATAATCATGATCAGTAACAAAAGAAAGAGACTATACACTAGAACAAACCTTTCATCTCCTCTCCTTTTGTTTTTCAAAAATAAAACATCAATGTCTTTCTTCTTCTTTTTGGCAAGAAAATCAATAGTATCTTCGAAATATGAGGTTTATATTGTGGGAGCAAATAAATCCGACGTCCAATTAGAAGGCGCCACATGGAAAAGAAGCTAACCCTAGAAATATATTATTTAAACTAATAAATCAGGTTTAATAATATATTTAGAGTGCTGCTAAAGAAACCCTAAAATTAACTAAGTACATCATACTACCAAACTATTTATTGAATTACTAATTTACCCTAATATAAATGAATAAAAATGATATATTGAATTGTGAAACAAATATAATATTTAATAAGCACTCTACTCACCAAATTCAACCCATAGAAAGTCGCGACAAAGTTGAGGACAGTTGAAGCTGTAATTGCTAGGGTTTCTCTAAAACTACGTCTATAAATTGGGAGTGGAAAATCCACGCAGAAGAGAGAAAACAAAGAAGAAAAGAAAGAGGAACAGGAAGAAAATATCCAGAGAGCTTAAAGATTTTGATTTTTTTTTCTCTCTGCTTTCTTTTCCTCTTTGTTTTTCTCTCTTTTGATTTCCCATGTTTTCAATTTTGTCGCGGCAAACCTTTCTAAACGGACACAATTAATGAGAGACAAGACAAGACGCCATAGAAAGTCGCGACAAAGTTGAAGACGGTTGAACGGACACAATTAACTATAATAATGAAAAGTTAAGGACTTGGCCCCAACAATGAAAGAGAGTAAATGGTGGCATTTCTTAGATTTATAATATATATTGATGATGATCACGTGTACATAAACTAATATATATATTTTTAGATTTCTCTGCCCCATGTGCTGATCCACTTTAACCAAGCCATGCCTCCTCGAAAAAGGAATTCGCTTTCCAATATTTTTTTATTTTTACTTTTTGTACTTTTTTTTAAAGTAACAAAAATGAAAAAGCAGGGGAAGGAATCATGTTTTGGGAATGATTACAAAAATAAAAAAATAAAAAAAATAAAAAAAGGTTGTAACAATGATGAAAAATGGTTAGTAAGAATGAAGCCATGAAAGACAAAGAAGCTGGTGAAGGAAGAGATGGTGAGAAAGGCAAAGAAGCTGGTGAAGGAAGCCATGAAAGAAATTGTTTGAAATTGAATGGACTGGGAAGTGGGCACCAACTATAAACTCCAATACTACTACTCTTGCAAAGGTTTCTATATTTCAATAACTCACTATTATTTTTGTCTTAATTTGATGTTTTTTTCTCTATGTTTTCTTTTCCTCCTTGTTTTCTCTCTTTTTGATTTCCTGCGTTTTCAATTTTGTCACGACAAACCTTTCTGAACGGACGCAATTAATGAGAGACAAGACAAGACGCCATAGAAAGTCGCGACAAAGTTGAAGACGGTTGAACGGACACAATTAACTATAATAATGAAAAGTTAAGGACTTGGCCCCATCTTCCAACGGTTAAAAACAAAAGTTCGCAACGAGTTCGCATCTTAGAGTTCGCATTGGAGAAAGCCCCAACTAATATATATATTTTTAGATTTCTCTGCACCATGTGCTGATCCACTTTAACCAAGCCATGCCTCCTCGAAAAAGGAATTCACTTTCCAATATTTTTTTATTTTTACTTTTTGTACTTTTTTTTTAAGTAACAAAAATGAAAAAGCAGGGGAACGAATCATGTTTTGGGAATGATTACAAAAATAAAAAAATAAAAAAAATAAAAAAAGGTTGTAACAATGATGAAAAATGGTTAGTAAGAATGAAGCCATGAAAGACAAAGAAGCTGGTGAAGGAAGAGATGGTGAGAAAGGCAAAGAAGCTGGTGAAGGAAGCCATGAAAGAAATTGTTTGAAATTGAATGGACTGGGAAGTGGGCACCAACTATAAACTCCAATACTACTACTCTTGCAAAGGTTTCTATATTTCAATAACTCACTATTATTTTTCTGTCTTAATTTGATGTTTTTTTCTCTATGTTTTCTTTTCCTCCTTGTTTTCTCTCTTTTTGATTTCCCATGTGTACATAAACTAATATATATATTTTTAGATTTCTCTGCCCCTTGTGCTGATCCATTCCATTTTAACCAAGCCATGCCTCCTTGAAAAAGGAATTCGCTTTCCAACTTTTTTTTATTTTTACTTTTTGTACTTTTTTTTATGTAGAAAAAATGAAAAAGCAGGGGAAGGAATCATGTTTTGGGAATGATTACAAAAAAAAAAAAAAGTGTAACAAGGATGACAAAGTAGGGGAAGGAATCATGTTTTGGAATGATTACCCAAGACTCATCATTAAACTGGTTAGTAAGAATGAAGCAAAGCTGGTGAAGGAGCTGGTGAAGGAAGTAACGGAGAGAAGGAATCATGTTTTGGAATGATTACCCAAGACTCATCATTAATGGTTAGTAAGAATGAAGCAAGACAAAGAAGCTGGTGAAGGAGCTGGTGAAGGAAGTGACGGAGAGAAAGGCAAAGCAGCTGGTGAAGGAAGCCATGAAAGAAATTGTTTGAAATTGAATGGACGAGGAAGTGGGCACCAACTATAAACTCCAATACTACTATTCTTGCAAAGGTTTCTATTTCAATTCCTCACTATTATTTTTGTCTTAATTTAATTTTTTTTTTTCTCTCTGCTTTCTTTTCTTCATTGTTTTCTCTTTTTTTGATTTCCCGCGTTTTCAATTTTGTCGCGACAAACCTTTCTGAACGGACGCAATTAATGAGAGACAAGACAAGACACCATAGAAAGTCGCGACAAAGTTGAAAACGGTTGAACGGACGCAATTAACTATAATACTGAAAAGTTAAGGAGTTGGCCCCAACAATGAAAGAGAGTTAATGGTGGGATTTCTTAGAATTATAATATCTATTGATGATGATCACGTGTACTTAAACTAATATATATATTTTTAAATTTCTCTACCCCTTTTGCTGATCCACTTTAACCAAGCCATGCCTGCTTGAAAAAGGAATTCGCTTTCCAACTTTTTTTTTATTTTTACTTTTTGTACTTTTTTTTTATGTAACAAAAATGAAAAAGCAAGGGAAGGAATCATGTTTTGGGAATGATTACAAAAAAAAAAAAAAATTGTAACAAGGATGAAAAATGGTTAGTAAGAATGAAGCCATGAAAGACAAAGAAACTGGTGAAGGAAGAGACGGTGAGAAAGGCAAAGAAGATGGTGAAGGAAGCCATGAAAGAAATTGTTTGAAATTGAATGAACTGGGAAGTGGGCACCAACTAAAAACTCCAATATTACTACTCTTGCAAAGGTTTCTATATTTCAATTTCTCACTATTATTTTTCTGTCTTAATTTGATTTTTTTTTCTTTCTCTCTGCTTTCTTTTCCTCCTTGTTTTCTCTCTTTTTGATTTCCCACGTTTTCAATTTTGTCGCGACAAACCTTTCTGAACGGACGCAATTAATGAGAGACAAGACAAGACGCCATAGAAAGTCGCGACAAAGTTGAAGACGGTTGAAGCTGTGATTGCTAGGGTTTCTCTAAAACTACGTCCATAAATTGGAAGGAGTGGAAGAAAGAGAATGGAGAGAAAAAGAAAAGAAAAGCATAAAGAAAATTTCCTATTCCTTCCAATCTTATCTGGATCTTAGTTTAGCTCCGCCAATACAGACAAGGGTGCAACCACTTGAACCTATCTGGGCGCCCTATTTTGTGTCCTCACGAGGACCCGTGGCCGTCAACGACTCGTTACTCCTTGACAACAATGTTGCCATTGGAGTTCCGAGAAGTTTGGTGACTCCCAGGGATCTGCGCATATTGGGAATGAGGAATGACAACCGCATAATGAGCGATGTTGTGGCAATGGGCGTGCAGAGTGCGGCATGTATCGCAAGTGTGGGGCATCGCCTCATTGCAAAAACTCATGAGGTGCAATTCTTAAAAGCTCAGTTGACGGCAGAGCAGAAATTGGTTGATGAATATCAGCGTGACAATAGATGACTGAAAAAGGATAAGACAGAGAGGGAAGAGGAGCATCGACACCAGCTTGAGATTTTGCGGGCAGAAAATGAAAAGTTATCAAAGATGATAACTTTTTATTCTAAAGAGATGCCAAAACGACAGGAGGCCTCGGAGCGACCGAGTAAACGCAAACGCGGAGATCACGACTCTAGTTTTGCTGAAGCTAAGATAGTGATTTTTGGAAGCTCAAGTGATGAGCCGTAAGAATCTGTGCTTGAAAACCCGGGAGAGGAGATTCAGAGCGCAAAACTAAAGGCTCCTATCGTGCAAATTTGAAGCGTGGCCAGATGATGACGATAAAGATGATGAGGAAGAAGAAGAAGAAGAAGATGATGAAGAAGAAAGTGTTATTGTTTGTTTATTTTTTTTATTTATAATATATATTGATGATGATCACGTGTACATAAACTAATATATATATTTTTAGATTTCTCTGCCCCTTGTGCTGATCCACTTTAACCAAGCCATGCCTCATT